TTTCCCATTAAAACCTCCATTTTTCCATAGGGAATTTTCCCATTGAAGAGGGTATCAAAGTAAATGGGGGATTTTCCAGTGCTTCAGGCGCCTCCACGGACCCCTTGGTCCGTGGCGCCTGTCGTTCTTCCGGACGGGGTTTCGGGGGAAGGCAGAAGTACGAGTTGGGTCGACCTTGGTGAATACCCTCTGGTAATGACTAACATAGCTATTGAAAATGGCCATAGAAATAGTGGATTTTCCCATTGAAAATGGTGATTTTCCATAGTTTTTTGTATGTTTACCAGAGGGTAGGTGATAGGATTCCATTTTTTAAAAAATCTGCAAGATGGATTTTCGTTCCCCTTTGGGATGATTCCCGAGTGGTTTCAGAAACAAAAAATTCTGGTGCCACCGTGTTGTTTTTGATCGGGAATTCATCATGCTTTTGATCTTCTCCTGAACTTTGCCAGTCACAAGCGGGATGAACCTGAAGACATGGGGCGTCTTTCGCCACACATTGTGACTTTTTTCCTCGGGAAATGCCCCGGATCCGGTAGCTATGTGTACCTTGTTAGCCAGTGCAACTGCTTGTGATTTCAATTTTGGATTCATGTTTCTTTTGATGTGCGAGCATCTTTGACAAGCATATTTTGACTTATTTTGATGAATGGGTCAAGTACAGCATAGTAAGCATACTGTAAAGGTGTTTGTGGATCTCTCAAGGTTCCGTCGAAGAAATCGGCAGAAACATGGTGATCGCCAGGCCACATTCTAGACGTTTATCAGACATCATGTTTTTTTTATCAGGGAACTTTGCCTTAAGGCCTCAAGGATGTGTGTGTGTGTTTGCCTGTATTCCAAGGCATCCTGCTGTACTGTTGATTCTTGCACCAAAAGCATGCACTTGTAACTCAGAAGGTTTTATGTGCCATTAAAAAGTTGGATCAAAAATTATGTACATTGGGGGACGGTCATACCTCCACAAATTGTAAACAGGATTTTCACTAGGGAATTTTAATCATTGTAATTAAATTGCCAACATATGGATGCCCAAGAATGGTTGGATGACCACAACCATGTGGCTTTTTCTGAAAATCAATTCGACCCCTAAAACTTACTGGTTGATCATCATTTTGATCATGGCACTTTGAGGGCTCTCGGAGCCTCCCCTTGGTGCAGTTGAACTTTAATAGTGGAGATTAATAACCGTAGTTATTGGGGGTAAAAGTTCTATCGCAACTTGAGGGGTGAACTCATCTAGTTAGTGATATGATACAGTGCCCAACTGCACCATCCATGGAGTAGTCACCAAGTTTCCAAGTCGCCATGGATGCGCGCGTCCCCTTTCAGCGCCCGCTGGAGTCGGAAGGTCGAACGGAAACTCGGTGAATCGCGGTGCGATTTTTCGTAGAACTACAGGTATCAAATTGTTTGATTGGGAAATTCGTTGTGCTTATTGGAGAGACAGGTCGTTTGTTTTCCCATCAACCACAAACCGAATCGGGCGGTCTTCTGGGATGATTGTTTGATGATCGGCTTCTCCAAAAGCTGAGCTAACCATGGCAGCTCCACAGGTTCCCTCAAGGATTGAAAAGCCAGCCTGAATATGCCTGAATCATAGTTGAGGGGGACAGAATTGGTGGAAATCCGGCTTAGCCTCTGGTAAACAGCCACATAACTATGGAACATCATCATCTTTAGTAGGTAAATCAACTCTAAATTGGTCATTTTCAATAGCTATGTAAGATTATGTAAGTCATTACCAGAGGGTAATTTACAGGATAGCGATCTCAATGGTTTTTTCAGATGTTTGCACCATGATTTTGGTGATCTTCCGACATCTTTACGAGGTTTTTGGCTTTCCAGTTATGTCTGTTGGAAGATTAAACCATGAACTAGTTCGTTATATGTTCCATTAAGCCAGACTATAGTATACTATAGTTATAGGCCCATGACTTGGTTATAGTATGTTATAATTTATAAGTATATCTATACTTAACCCAGTTACAAGCCAAAAATCCATTGAACAAAAGTCGAAGCAAAGTCCATTTGGTTAAAAACCTCCTTGTCTCCATGATTTTATTTCCATAACTTGGCAGTTCTCAAAAACATTGGACGAAGCCATATTATACACAGTGCGCCGTGCGCCCATATTGTTGGTTGCCAAATGTTGCTAAATGTTGCGAAACCCTTATATATATATTAATATATATGAGCTACAGCCAAATTTAGCTTAATGGTGAGTAGTATTCGAGCGGTCTCTATTTTTCAGAAATCGAGCTGGGGCTTGGAAAACGATAATACTCTTTTCAAAAATCGATAACATTTACTTATATATATATACCAAAACCTGAAAAACGATAATACACTCTTCAAAAAGTGATGACTTGGAGCTATATACCAAATATTGGCCGTGGCCTACATACATACATACATATATATATATATATACATACACATATATATACATATATATATGAATCATTATAATATATCCCATTGTATCCCCACTGGTGATCTTGAGAAATCTTGACTGAGATGGGCAACAATATCACCGGTGTTACACCTCTATTGTAATTGTATCCCCATTATATAATATTAATAATATTATATCCTCATTCTGGTTGGTTCCTCCATTCTATCGGATTATATTGATTATATCGTAATTGTGACATCCCCATTTCTGTGTCTAAAACCGTCTAAAACCTCCGTCTTCAGACAAACCCAAATCATATTGCTTACATATCCCATTCTAAGCCCAACATCTCCCATGAAACTCCATCAGATACGATGAAATCCCATGAATATAATACGAATATCCCAGGAACATATTTCAGCCCATGAAGGATTACACATATATATATATACATACATACAGGATGGGGCCCCATTTCGTTAGCTAAGTTGGTCCTAACTATTTCATAACCAGTTGGTGTATGATACCCAAATAACTGTATACATATATATATATATACCCTCCGGCAATTTAACATAGCTATTGAAAATGGCCATTTATAGTTGATTTACCTATTAAAAATGGTGGTTTTCCATAGCTATGTTAGTTTACCAGAGGGTATTTAGATGGGGCCCCATAAACCAACCTCAACATTTCACATACAACGGGGGCTCCCAGGATGGTTTGCCCTGGCGGCAGCTGCAGGGTGAGCGACTCTCTCAGGCGATTCTAAAGGTAAAAGTTGTTCACGACCGAAGCCTGGAATCATGGTGAATGTAAAGGGAAATCATAATATAGGTTGGGAATATGGAACAATAACATATATGTAATAACCAATAATATAGGTTGGTTTTCCATAACCAATCATGGAATCATATATTCCCAAAATCATTCTCAATGGGAATTTCAGGATCCTAAAATGGAGGTACGTTGGTACCATATTTCTGGCCATATTTTGGGGGAATATTCCCTGAAATTAAGGCTTGAAAAATTGGCCTTATATATAGTAGGTACCTCCAATTTAGGTTCCTGAAATGGTTTTCAAACATTTTTCTTTTCCATTATATATGGGATAATCCTTCCCATTGACTTTCATATTTTTCAGAGGGGTTGAAACCACCAACCAGTCAAGGTTAGTGAAATATGATTTCATTTACCCAGATGACAAAAAATGGATCTAAGTACTTAGATGGGCCATGGGATTAGTTAACCAGTGTAACCCAGTTACGATCATCAGTTGACTAGTCCCATGGCCCATCTAAGTACCTTCTGAGGCAGTATTTGGAGTATGATTTTGGGGCTTAAGTACTTTCTCAGGAAGGACTTAGATCCAGAGGGACTATAATTCCTTTGGGATATTGGGATGTTGGGATGTTGGGTAAAGGTCATACAACTATTTTTGAGGAGTCATACCATCTATTTTTGAGGACACATACTATTAACAGATATTAACACAATACAGATATTAGCAGTATGACAGGCTAAGATACAGGGAACATCAACATTTGTAACACGTATACATGTGTCTATGCATCGATATCAGTACGTCTCCAAATGTTTCCAAGATTTTCCAACCCTGGACATTTCCAGTACCCCACCGCACTAGGAGGGGAATGCTTTCCGATGTGGTTTACAGAACTCCGCACAATGCGGGCCGCCCTAGATGGCTAAGTTGGTTTACACATAACTCCAATAACAATGGTTTATGGCGGATATAACTATAGAGTTGATAGGGTTTTTAAACCAACTTGTAATTGGGGGGCCCGACAGCTGCAATTTTTTTCCAAATCTTTGGCTCCTTAAAGGTCACTAGTTATGACCTCACACTGATTCCAATGATGGCTTGGTGGGGCTCGGTCCTGTCGCCGTAGCAACTCCAAATCAATGAAATGGGGATGGGTCAAAACCGTATCCCCCTGGTGAACATCAAAATAGCTGGTAAATGGATGTTCATCCCCCTAAAAATGGTATGTATAGGTATTGATCCATAGCCAAATGACTTACAGTAATTGGATTCAGGGTTTCAAACTACCGTCCGATCTTTCATAACATCGCTATGGAACATGGTCCATTCAGTTTGACATGACTTCCCCTTTAGTGATTTTAGTGTAATGGAAAAATATGGCTGGGAAATCCAAATCCAAACACACCAAATGGAGTCGTTAATGGACAAATGAATAGAAACCATCGAATTTCATGGTGTTTTTCCATGATTTTCCACGCTTGACACCCGAGGGTATACAACTGGGTGAACAACATGATGATTTACCCTACTATATCATATTTCCATGATTGTTTAATTTGTTTATCATATTAATAACATGAAATAATATTTTTTTGAGTTCGTTATATATATATCATTTTATATATTATTATATATATTATTATTATTATTTAATATTATTATTATTTTTTTATGATTATCATTATTATTATGATTATCATAATTATTATTATTATTATCCCATTATGAATGATTTCCAGTGGGATTATAGACTAGTAAATACGTTTTTTTTAAAACACAAACTTGGACCTTGGTGTTTTCCAGCTGCCGGGCAGGACCCCGACTGGGATCAGGCCGGCTGCTGGGCTTGGTCCTATGCTGGGAGCCTCAGTTGGGCAGGGCGATGGTGGGGTAGTCCTATGGTATAGCTATGGTATACCTATAGCGAAAATAGATAACTAATTTTAGATAACCTCTGCCGTTTTTGTACTTCACATTATTCAACACTTACATCTACATAACCTCTGGATATTTTCGGAATATTTGGCCCATGATTCTGGCCAGTTTGCGAAGTGGAAGGCATGGCCCACTTCGCCACGTTCAATCACCAGTCAACCGGGGTCAACCGTGGATTTTCCCTGACAAAAAGGGCTGGGGCAATGGGGGGAGACCTGCATTTTCAGAAGACACACCAAAACTGGTTGGTGGTTTGGAACATGGCTTTTATGAATTTCCATATATTGGGAATTTCATCATCCCACCTGACTCTCGCATATTTTTCAGGTGGCGAAAAACCACCAAGCAGAAAAACTGGGGATTTTTCGGCTCCCCAAAAAGATCATCAATTCACTGAGACAATAATTGGGGAGACACATCAAGAGATGCTCCGGAGCTTTATGATGGCTTTATGGATTTCTCAGATCAACCAGGCCAACCAGGCTGATTTTTTGGTGTTCATGACTTCTTAAGGCGATGTCGGGGAGTGGACGGATGTCACCGCTTTTAAGGCTTAAAGCCCCGAATTATTTTTTGAGCAATATCATGAGCAGCAGAAGGATTTTCCTGTCTAACATGATTATTTGAGGAGAATTTCTTGGGGTACAGTAATTACCCGCAATAGGAAATTCTGTTTGGAATTAGATAACCCACTATAAACACTATAAACATTGCAATAGGGTAATTCTTGGGGTAGCAGAATTTGTTTATAATTTTGGAATTCATCTTGCCCACTGCAGCCCATTGAGAAGATTTCCTGCAACTTATTTCCGCGAATTTTCGCAAAACGAGATGGAAGTTCATGGCTATGTCCGGTATGTCCCTGCTTCGGAAAATTATCTAGAAATCGTGAATCGTGTTTTTTTTCACACTCATCTCAATTACTAAACATATGTTGGAATGAATTATATGGGATTCACCCTGCAAGTAAAGAGACTTCCAAGTGGGGATGGTTGACATCCCATACCTTGGGGTATACCGACAGGGACATGGCCGAGAATGTTGCGATTCATAGGAAACCATAGGAAACCTATACTTAAAGATAGTTCTTCAGGCACTTGACAATGATTTGGTTTGCCAAAGCGACCCCTCCATTAAGATCGACGTTTCGATCTTCAAAGATTCTCATCACCGCAGGTTCGCTTGCACAACCGCTTGCTGGAGCAAGCCAAGATCATCCAGTCGGAAGGACAACAGGCGCAAGAGGAACAGCACGGACGAAGTGGTCCCTGGGCGCAGAGATTGCTTCGATTGGAAAAAACACCAAAAATGGGGGATTTTTTGGCGATGTTGTACAGAACTCCTTTTTTAACCATGAACATATCGGGATTCTGAGCTATGAAATATCTGGGAATAGAACTGATGAATGACAATATGAATCTATGTGAATGATAGTTGGTTGATGATTGGCTCAGGGTTATCTGACCCTTGATTGGGCCTTATCGTATGGGAATCCCGTTCTAGAACGCAACCAGTAGAACGGAATGATAGCGTTTTTTTTTCTCACTGCCCAGACAATGATCATGTTCCGCCTCAAACCGAAGAGGAACAACCACTAGATCCATACTAATTACCCTCTGGTAAACTAACATAACTATGGAAAATCACCATTTTTCATGGGTAATTCCACTAATTATAAACGGCAATTTTCAATAGCTATGTTAAATTACCAGAGGGTATCAACCACTGGTACTAATTATCAATCATTGGATCACATGACCATTTCTATGACGATCAATACTACCATGTTTTTCAGACAGGTGAAAATATGCTTCACTAATTCTATCACCAGGATATTAAATCCCCATAAAGTAGCCCCCAAATGAATAGATCCAATACTAAACCAAGGTTTCTAGGCTGGTATATCTGGAGGAAGGGATTATGCCCAAAGCATTGCCATTAACATGAAGTATTGAAGCTGGTTGAGATTGGAATATCATTGTTTCAGGTGGAGTTTGCACATCCCCGCCTCTACCATTTCTCCCGTTTTCTCATCACCAGGGTGAGGGGTAAACCCTATGGGTCCGACGACCCAAGATAGTGCCCCCGGCCCGGTAGCTGGTGGATGATTCAAGTAGTTGGAGAAGTATATCTACTAGAAATCCACCAGTTATATATTGCCAAATTAGATGACTTTACTGGAAACCCAACTTCAAATAGAATTACTAGAAACCCAACAGTTCTTGGAGTTATATTTGCCTGTGCCAAACTGGCTGAAAACAGGCGTAGATATTTCATTACATTCCATACTCATATTACTATTCCTCATTGATTTTCTGAAACCTCAAAGCATTCGGGGGGTTTTTCGTATGTCATTCCATCATCATATTCCTCATTGATTCACCTGATTTTATCATGGCAAGTTGATTCACCAGCCATCCCTCTGGTTATTTGTTGCATAGCCATGGAAAATGGTTCATTTATAGATGATTTTCCCAGCTATAAACCTCCATTTACAAGGGATTTTCCCAGTTAGTCATAACCAGATGGTACTGGGAAATCCTTAAAAACATCCACGCCCTTGGAATCCTGCCCCGCCTAAACCAGTTGAGGACGGGGGATGCCCAGTTCGATGCTTGTTATAGCCAACATCGGATTTGAATGGATTGATATATGGGTGCCCCATATTCAAATATAATTCACAAGAACATATAGTTATATATATGGTCATCTTTTAACAACGTGTATGAATATATAAATCTGTGTAATATAGTATAATATAGTATAATATAATATAATATAGTATAATATAATATAATAGAATATATATAATAGAATATAATAGAATATATATAATAGAATATAATAGAATATAATAGAATACAATAGAATATAATAGAATATAATAGAATATATTAGAATATAATAGAATATAATAGAATATAATAGAATATAATAAAATATAATAGAATATAATAGAATATAATAGAATATAATAAAATATAATAGAATATATACTATATAATATATAATATATAATAAAATATCATATAATAATATATAATATAATCATATATAATATAAAAATATATAATATAAATATAAATAAATATATATATATATAGATAATATACGAATATATATAATTTTAATATATAATACATAATATATATAATATACAAAATAAAATAAAATAAAATATAATAACATAATATAATATAATACAATAACATAATATAATATCATATAATAACATACATGATATAATATAATATAATATAAAATTAGAAAAATAATATATGATAATAATATGTAATATAGTAACATATAATATCATTTAATATAATATAATATAATATAAGATAGTATAGTATAATATAATATAATATAATCATATGTAATATAATGTATTATAACAATATGTAATATAGTAATATATGATATAATTTAATATAATATAATATAATCATATGTAATATAATAATATATAATAATATAAATATATAACATAATATAATATATAATATAATATATGTAATATAATATAATTTAATATAATTTAACATAATTTGAAAGACATATATAGTATGATAAAATGATATATATATAATATATAATATAGTATTATGTATATCATATTATATTTAATATATAATGTAATATAGAATATAGAATATATAATATATATAATATATAATATATATAATATATAATATATATAATATAATATATATAATATATATAATATATATAATATATAATATATATATAATATAATATATAATATATAATATATAATATATAATATAATATATATATATATATAAAATATAATATAATATATATAATATATATAATATATATAATATATATAATATATATATATATTATATAATATATATGATACATAATATATAATATATAATAAGCAATATATAATAAATAATATATAATATAATATACAATATATAATATATGTTATATATATATACATATATTCTATATTATTATATAATATATAATATATTATATAATATATAATATATAATATAACTATATAAAATATAATAATATATAACATGATAATATATAATATAATATGATATAATATAATAATATATAATTTAATAATATATAATATAATGATATAATATAATAATATATGATATAATATGATATAATATAATATAATATTATATAATATTATATCATATTATATAGTATTATATTTATATATAATTTAACATAATATATCGTATAATTTGATATATAATATAACATACTGTAAAAATAATATAATATAGTATAACATATTATAATTTTATATAGTATTGTATATGATATATACACATTCATGAACATGTGTGTGTTCCGGCGACCCCCAGTTGAGTGGCGACCCAGGTTTTGAGGCACCGAGCATCCGAAGTTCATTGAAACTGCTGAAGAACGAGGTCTTCTCCCTCTGTCCCATGAACTTCCTGCGTTTTGGCGAGATATGTGATGATCCCCCTGGATCAGATGTTAATGGGGAGATCAAGTAGGAAAAACTATGGGATCACATGGGGATATGTGGGAATAATGGGGGATAATCATTGGGATATACATACATATACATACATATATATATATATAGGGGATACTGTATATTTGGAGATATAATGGGGGATATCACCAAGAATTGGAGTATCTAACCCAGTGTTTTACGGATATATAAGGAGAATCCACCATGGGCCCTTCCGGGAGGTGTCCTTCACGGCTGGTGAAGCCCAACACTTCGATGATTTGTGACGGTCGTGACGTTGGCAAATGATGTCTGAAAACAACGAATTTAGCAAAAGGAAAACGGTATAAATATAATTCCATGTATGTATAATATATAATTGTAACATAGTTGTAACAAATCACAAGTGATGAAGCATTTGATGAATATAGTTCACCATATGATCCAACAAATCACAATTCACTATAGTTCACTATAAAATTGTAAATCCCAGTCGTGATCGCACTGGGCAACCCAGTGAAAAAACACTGGCAACCCCCCATTGGAGCGATCGCTCAGGATCTCCGGAATTTTGATCTCCTTCATACTGACGAGTCTCAGTGTCTCAGCTTGAGAGTTACAATGGCCATGCAACAGGAACCGATCTATTGGAGGTAGCGATTCCATAGATGTTTGGCCTGGCCTTTTTAGGCCTAATTTTCAAATATCCCCAGAATTTGTTTTGGTCTTTTGGAGGTACGTAATTTTAACCGTAGCTCCATGTATTGGATCCTGAGTCATTCCCATTTGGGGATGGGTCAAAACCCTGGTACCTAGTGAACCCCAAAATAGCTGGTATTTATGGATGTTCATCCCATTCCAATTGATAAAAATGTATCTATAGGTATTGATCCATACCCATTTTTGGATTCAAGGGCAGCTCATTGATGTGGCGGTCGATGCGGCCGCCCGATATGCCAAGGGTGGACCTGAGGTGCCCACGGGATGGGCCCACGGTCTCCGGCATTCATTAACTACTTACTAAAATCCGAGAAGCATGGAATTTGTTTTTCTATATTTTTTTTGGATTACTAGAATTCTACATAATTATATATAATTATATATACAGTATATATATATGCCATGTAAGGTGGGGAGTCGTGAAGGAGTCATTCGTCTCCAGGCTGTGGACATTGGGGCGGAGCTCTTTGAGCCGATCTTGGTCCTCTCAGCTGCTTGGAAGATTGGCCCAGCGGCAGGAGCTGGGTAGGAACCACTTTGAAAGGCCAATGTCCCCGCACTTGTCACATTCACAAGTTAGTTATATGCTCTATATATGATTTTTGCATGGATAGTTAGTTACATATTGAAGTTGATGGTACCTTGAATGGGGAGTTTTTCACCAGTTTTTAGGGTCCGGTCCCCAGCTGCACTTGGACCCTGCACTTCAGAACTCTTGTCGTCAGAAATTTTTCACCTTTGTTGAGTTCCCCAGAATTTGGGTACAGGGAAATGCTGAAGTCATGGAAAAACTCATGACAGCTATTAATTCCGAACACATCTCCCCAGTGAGTTGCCTTTACCATTGGAATCCTGCAACACATAGGT